TGAACGCAATTGCAAGTAAGGTACTTATCCAGACTGAATGCGGTGGTCCTTTCAATTCGAGAGTACGATTTCTGTCCGCACATTAATGTAAAGGTTCTGACCCAGCTGGCAGCAAGAATGGAAAACGTACTTGTGTAAGCTTCGTGCCCTGAGTCGTGCGGCATGCTGTGACTTCCTCAGCTTGTTGATGCCATTATGGCGGTCAGAGGATGCAACGGTCTCGTCTTTACTAGAAATTCTTACTGCAACGTTCTTTATGCAACTTTCTCACTGCAACTTTCTTATGACCACACTACAAAAAAAAGGAAACTTTCCGTGTAAGAAACGATCTTTGCAACGGCAACCTTCTTGAAATGCAACACTCTTAAAAGGAACTTTGGCCAAAGGAACAAAGAAAATCATGTGCATAGCGTAGCACGTCTACGACTCAACAACAACTAATTAGCGAAGATGCTAGACAAAAAAAAACCACGCGACTCTGTGCCACGACTCAAGCGCTCCTGGTGGAAGCTTAGGAAAGTGCCACGCGCTCTATAGTCGCATGTGCCTAAACACCGTTACAAGATTAGACGCGCGAACTTCAAATAGCATGCAACTCTCTTTCAATTTTCAACAGGCCGTGAACGTTTTAAGCGGCTTCCCCCTCCCCGTCGACCCCCCTGCCCCTCACCCCCTCGGAGCTCCCGGGCCAGAACCCGCCTATAATAGCTACTCACGGACTTTTGCATAACGCTGCATTTGCATAAAATATAAGGTATAAGAAAATTAACTAATCAGAGTATGAAGAACTTTGAGGGGCTATTTACAATACGTCGTATGTCAGATCGTAAGCCGTAAATCGTAAGAATTGACCAATTAAAGTTGGATATAAGAAAAATATTCGACTACGATTGGTCAATTCTTAGTTAGTATGATATGAGTAGTGATTAACGGCTTATTGTAGAAAGCCCCTCATAGATTAATTTTCTTATGCCTTATGTCTTGTGCGTTAAGGCCGAAGCACAGACTTTTGCATGACGCATAATGCATAACGTATAAATGAATAAACCAATCAGAGTCCTCCATTTCCATCCCCACTCCTCACTCTGCGAATCTTGCATAACGCATAAAACATAATGCATAACATGATGAAAAATCCGTAAGGATTTTTATGCAATATGCGGAGAGATTCTGCATATTTGTGCTTTTGCTCCGACGCCTTCGACGCGTAAATTCTCGATCGTGAGCTTCACCAGACGGCATTCAATAAACCTGCTGGTACATATTCCATGCGTACGTGTAATAATTTTCAAAACTCATTGTATGCTAGGTTGTAAACTGTTGTCATAGAATTATCGTTTAATTGAGACAATTATTTCAGGATTCAAGATTGGTCGGATCGAATTCGAGCTTTGTTTACACTAGACAACGTGACCAAGTATATTTTTTAACGTTTTTACCTTTTTTTTCGAAAAAAATTGTATCAAATTGAAAAAAATCAGATCTTTGTATCATCTAAAATATATAATACGACTTCGAAGAAAAAACTGTTGTTAAATTATAAAAAAAATCTAAGTGTCATTATCTTCAATATATAACAATAACGCAAAATTATTTTGTAATTAATATACCCCGAAAAAAACTATTGTACCAAATTAAACAAACAAAATCCAAGTTGTATTATCTCTAACGTACACATGATTTTAAAAAAATTTAATTTAATAAATTAAAAAATATAATACTATCAAAGAGAAGTGAAATCAAAATATTATTTCAAGTATATTTATTGTAATTGAATTAAAAACTAAAAAAAATAATATACTTCGAGAAAAAATATTATATCAAATTAAACAAATGAAATCCAAGTTGTATTATTTTCAATGTACATAAAAAATAATAAGAAATGCAATAGATAGCGTAATGAGGACCGCAGAAATTAAAAAGGGATTTCGATAAAAAGGGATCGGATAAAAAGTAGCAAATTACGTGACAGAAAAATAAAAAATAGGAGGAAATCCAGCAGCAGCATACTTGACGCGCCCGTTTTTTATGTATAAACTTATGGAAATATAATACATGCAATTCATGCTAATAATATATTATTTATTAATAGTAAATATTTTATGTAAATTAAAAAGATTAAATATACATATGTTCACTAATAACATTAAAATAATATCAACGAATAATCTTGTAATGCCTTTAAATTTTATTTAAGATAATAATAATAATAATAATCATCATCATCATATATATGTATATATATATATATATATATATTGTGACGTGACGTTTTTCGACCGTCCGTCACAAGGGTCGTAATGCCTGATCGAAGGAGCGCGGTTTTGAATCCTGCGTCCTCCCCGATTTAGGGAGGCGAGCGTATCCGCGCGCATTGCGTTTTCCGTTATATTACCGCGCGCTTTATTTAATCTTTTCTCTCCTCGTGAGCGTAACCATAGATAGAGATCGGCGGCATAGCCGAACTGCGCGTGTAAGAGATCACCAAGCGGCGAGAAGGACAGGGACATCGGCATTGGAACGACTCATCGCGGGAAAAACAGAGCACGCAGGTCAGCCATAGTTCTTACGAGCGTTATTGGTCTCGATATTTTCGGTTACGAGCTCTTTACTGCCGCCGATTCCTTTCAGCAATCCAGGTGGAAAGCCTGCTACATTGAGGCAATGGACTCTCACGATCTGTCGGGGACCGGGTTGCCGACGACGAAAAGTACTGAGGCGAGGCGGACGAGCAGAGTCGACGCCAAAGAACGGAGAGGGTCGCGAGCCTAATTTGAAGTCCGCGCTGCCGGTTGCGAGCGAGCTGATTACGTGCGACGCCGCGATTCGCGGGCGTCGCGCTCGCAGGGCAGGGGCCAATCGGCGCGTAATCAGCCGATCTTGTGACACCCTGCTGTCTGCGTGCTACCGGAAGAACCGTCGAGCGACACTTGTGCTGTGGTCGCGCTTGGGGAAGGACGCAGGATCCCGCTAAGTTGCCGAGTGCCAGAACATAGTTGGAGATTGTAGCCGCCGCTCTTGGTGAGACGAACTTTGTAGAATAATATTGTCAGCCGCCGGTTTCATTGTCGGGCGGATCGCGCTATTAAAGTTTTGTCGTCCGCGTTATCGTATGTTCGTGCGTAGAATCCGTGTGCCGCGCCGTCCGCCCGGCATAAGGTTACGCGAATTGAGTAGAGTGGATGCGCTCGCCGTGCCACAGCCGGGTCATTTGTGCGTTAGTTAAGTGTTATTTCGTGTTTCTTTCGTGTTAATAAGTTGTGCGAATTATTGCGTATTAGCGTGCCGAATGTCGGCAGGATTTCGGAATATCGCGACGCCACGTGGCGTGTGATCCGACGTTACGCCATGCGAGGCGTACTCGCGTACAGCGATCGGATATTTCGCGGATTAGGAGAGGCGTAAGAATGAAAGCTTGTACACCGATCTCCGGGAGCGTTCCCGGACGCGCGAATCTCGATATCGGCGATACCACCGACGGTTGCCGCGGCGTTAGTCGCGGTCAGGAGAAACCCTTGTACATCCCAGCATACGCAATTATATCTGTTATTTGTTACCAAATTTATTGTGTCTTTGATAACGCCTTTACTCTTCCACATTCCTCCGCGCCCCTACGAACCACCCCTCTACCAGATTTCGGGGCTGAGTACCGGTCATTCGAGTCGTCCCTCGGTCGCGGCAGTCAGGTTCCGAGTTCCTTAACTATTTCGTGTCGTCTGTAATTCAATTCGAGTATTTAGAAAGGTGGCACGCCCGCTCGTGCCTGGCGCCCAACTTTGCGTTACCGGTGATCGTGCTCTTGTGAAGATTTAGAATTGCGACTACGTTGTGTCCTGACCGTAGCGACGCCGAGAACGACGAGTCTTGCTTTCCGGCTTGTAAAAAGACGGTTGCAATATATACATATATATTACGGCTCTATAAGCTTAACACAATAGATTGAGAGAATTATCTTAGTGCTTCTTATAATATCTTTATGTAAATTTTATTACAGAATTATATTACGAATTTGAGTTTTATAATAATT